AGTACTAAGCCGAATTCAGAATTTATTTCAAAAAAACAAGATTGGATTCAACACAACTATTGATGTACTCATCACTTTCGATTTGTTTTCTAGTGATCTTTGTATCTTTACCAATGTGTTTAAATGCAAGAGTGAGTGAATCACAAATACGCAGTCGCATAATTTTCATTGCCATTTATTACAAATACTGAGGCATAACACCACGTCGATCGGATCTTTTTAATTCACTGGAAGCTATCGTAAATGGTGTCGCATCAACATCGTCACGAAAATTGCGAAATTGGCCAAGAAAAATAGCCGGAGAAGAAAGCTCTTTAGCATGTTCGTCGAACATTAAAGTCTGAAGCAATGATATTTCTCCTGGTGCAATACGTAAATATAGTTCATCATTCCACAAGGGCGTTTATTGTTGCACAGTCAGGCTTTCCTCTATACGGATATTTTCACTCAGATCATCTTGAGAATATTCATAAATTATTTCATCTGTATCGAAAAATGATTGGTCAATTGTTATATCATACGCTTCATACAATGGAAATTGTATTAAAAACTGGAGCCAAGTTTTTATTTTACGTTACTCAACAATGCCAATCAAATAGCTTGATTTGTATATCATTTGTCGTTTTGTATAAACATTGATACAATGGTATCATCTAACTTTCGAGGAAGGCTTTTTATCATGGTATCAATTGAGACTGGTATGTTGATAATTTGTCCATAAATGTCATATTAGCCATTTACATATCTCAAATATGCATAAATAGAAGCCGTGGAGAAATTAGTCTTTCTGAAACCAAGATTAATAGTGTTAAATTGTAAGTCATGGTTGCATATTTAAAACCATTGTATGTCGCCATTGTGGGAATCTTATTTTTATTTAATGAATATTAATATATTAATTTTTAGTACAGCGGGGTCGCGGTACAGTATGGAAGTGGCATAATTGGGACAATATTAGTAATTAAATTTAGTATGAAATTGATATTCAATAATTTAATATTGTAATTTTTACGGAGATATTATAAAAATTATAAAGTAATTGTATATTTCATTAATTTTAATGCATATAAAAATTTAAAGGACTCGATGCAATTATTTTCAATCAAATATGTATGTTATTTATAACAAAGTTATAAGTTTTATACACTGGATTACAAGGAACTTTCATCAGAAACAAAAATATACTTTTCTAAATCAACTTTTTAGATGTTTTCAAATGTGCAATTAGACTTTTTCTATCACTTCTAAGTTTTAATATTAATATTATTAAAAAATAAATATTGTCACATAAAAAAATAATTAAGAAAAAAAAAATTGTTTTTAAATTAATATTGATTTTGATTATTAATATGTAAATAATAAGGAAAATGATATATTTACAAAAATATTTTTAATCCTTTAAAGTTGATTTTTGTGAATGTTTATAATAAAAAAAAATTTATTTATTTTACCATAACTTTTAACTCAATTTGCGATTTTGACATTGACATCATTAAATAGGAAATTTTATGTTAATTAAAAAATTGTATTGTTAAGATTAATATGCAGTCAGGAAATTTTATAATAACTATTTCTAGTAAATTTATCAGAAAAGCTCAATATTTTTTTGCATTTTTATCGTAATAGATAACTTAATTAGAAATAATAGTAATAATTTCCTAATAACTTTTGGTGTTAAAAAAAATTCTTCAATTGAAATATGAACTGTATTGATTTTAATGATTTACTTTAACTAAAATAACTAATCAAAAAAAAGTTGTTAAAAAAATCTAAAAATCCATTGTCAAATTCAGGAGAAACTAACAATCATTTTTTTTAGTAATTATTTATATAGCAACATGTTACCAAAATATTTGGAATATTATAATCTAGTAGTAGCACAAACAAATAGAGTAAAGTATTATGAAATTACAAAGTAAAATTATTTAATTTTTTAGTTGAAATCTATCATATCAAACTTGATTCGTCAATTAATACTTTAAAAACATTAGAAATGAATGATTTTAATTATCTGTATGGAGAACATGAGATAAGTAACTGTTTAATTGATAAATTAGAATTTTGTTTCAATTTTTGAGCGTAATATCTTCAACTTGATACAAATTTTAACCATTTGACGTATCGTTGAAAAAAATAGGTCAATTTAGAGCATAGAAAATAAATAATACTTACAAAAAAATGCCCTCTCAGCTTTGCATCGAAACTAAAACCAAAATATAGTAAAATAATTTTAATATGAATAAGACATTTCTTTTTGAAATTTGATAAAAATTTAGAGTTGAAAATTTATTCTAACTTAAAAAGAATTAAGAAAAAAATCCAAAAAATTACTTGATATACACGGGTTGGAACCTTGTACCCCAGCGCGTAGTGTTACTGACTCGGCAACAGTACGTCGCTTCCGTTGACTAAAAAAAATGTGAGTGAGTAAAGCAAGTAAATTTTCTTATGGATTTAAAAAAAAATCTTACCTGGTAAATTCTCTGGTTCTTATAATATCCTTAGTGATGATATTGGTAAAAATGATAAATAAAGTAACACAAGTTCAAATTTTTTAGTTCACAAATTAACACATAAAAACTTCGATAATGATGATTACGACGTTCGTACAACTTAATACGGAGCACGATAAAAACAGCGTAATGCGGACCACGAAAAGAACAGCCCAATACAGAGCACGAAATGAATAGCCAGGAGCAAGGGTTTGCTCTGGCTTTTTATAATATTTTTTAACCCCCAAAAATCGTCAGTGTCGAATTTTTAGTATAATTGTTTATTGATGAATAAGCATGAAACACAGAGATCAATACAGATGAATAGAACATAAATTATTTTGACATTTACATATATAACATTAACATGTTTTTTTTACAAGTAAGACAAAGATTGATACAATGCATTTAACTATTAATAGACGAATAACAAAGGTGACAAAAATAATATATAGATTTTCTTTTGGTAAGGAAGGATTTTAAAAGTAATTATTAATTGATTTATGACCGAACCACATACACTACAATGTAGCCAAACAGTGTGAGTTTGATGACTATTTCTCTTAAATGTTTATCTAAATTTTTGTTCGAGAAGGATCATGTCCTTTTAAGATTATAATGTATAATGAAAAAAGTTAAAATGAACCATTTCTATGGATAATGGTGACTATTTGAAATGAAAAAAGAATATACTAATAAATACTAAAAAGATAGCATTGTTGAGTACATGAACAGGGTATTTTAGTGTTATCCCATATAAATAATAGTGACGATTATATTACGACACAGTATTCCCAGAACACTTTCCAAAATTAAATTGAAAATGTCCTAGTTTAAATACGCATGTTTAAAGTTTTGACCCCCTTGTATAAAGGGATATGATCCTATTTAAAAAACATTTTTATAAGTTAATGTTTTGTGAAAAAGTTGCCATTTTGAACCCCTTCTTGTGAGCTAGTAAAAGGTCAAATGTTCACAAAAATAAATCAAAAGATAGGTAAATTACTAAGATATATAAAAAAAAAAAAAAAAATTATATTGATTCGGTTATTTTTAGAAAAAATATGGCAATTTTAAGTAAAAAAAGTTGAAAAAATGTCGAAAATTTTTAAATTTGTAATTTTTGGGGGGGCTTCCTCGTTTACGAGGAACGAGGGAATTCTTTTCAATTTTTGAAGAAAATGTCTTCGATTAGATACGATTTGTGATCTTTTCACGTATTGTTATCAAAATTGGTCCAGCGAGAGCTGAAATTTAGAAATTTATGAAAATATATAAAAATAAACACATCATAGTAAAATTAATACCTTTTCAGCTTCGCATCGAAGCTAAAAAAAGACAAAAAACATCTATACTATAATATTTAGTATTTACTCATTAAGTATTTGACATGATGTAGCAAGGAATGATGAGTTCGTAAAATTATTGAAACAGTTTATAAAATTTATAAAAAATATCAAAATTATAGATAATACATGTTTTACCGATATTAACATATTAATATAATATTGCATCTTTTTAAAAAATACAAAATAATTCATTATTCATTAATTTATTTTATTAATATGTTATTAGTTATAAGAATTATATTTTTAATAGAATGATTTTGCTAATTAATTTAAAATTTAATACAAGATATAAGATATATGTGTTAAGTAAAGCAAAAAAAAGTTTAAGAAATTATATTTAAATTATATGATTGGTTTATAATAAAAACAAATTTCCAGACTATTTATCATCAACAAATAATAATAATAATAATAAAATTATAATTTTAAGATATCAATTGATATCATTCAATTAATGAATAATTAGTATTTACTATGTAGATTAGGTCAAATAGATAAATTATCTATCTAATCCACAATAAATTTTTCAAGTTTTTTTTCTAAGCTTTTGTGATGACAGTCAACTTTTTCGAACCCTAGATCACTATAACAAGATACGTAAACACCTACACAAAACTTGTCAAATAGATTGCATGCATTAATATATCTTTGGGTTGACTGTAAAGAAATTAGATTATCGAATTCACTTTCTGAATACTTGAAATCATTTATTAATTTGAATTTGTCATAAAAAGGTTTTTTCATTAAACAACGGTTTTTTATGTAATACAAATCACCACGTATACCATTATAAAATTCATCACAAAATTTTAATAAAACTGTTAGTAGTTTATTAACCAAATCGATTTTTTTTTTATCAAATCCATCATCATTTTTTAATTGATAAAACTCATATTTCTTAAATAAACAGAGAAAACCTGAAATCCACATTAACAGATTCTTTAAGTTTGAATGAGAGTTGTAATTAACACTCCATATTGATGATTTATTTAAATTAATTAATGCTGTATACAATCCTTCAAGCATCAATTTAGATCTAATGAATGAGCTTAACAATTTAGTCAAACAAATATAGTTTCCGTTAGCATCCGTATTGCATACATACAATATAGCAGATAAAAATGTATAGTAGTTTTTCATTATTTCTGTATACCTACACCTTAATAACTGTGTTACATGCTCTTTTTTTATTTGAAAATTTACGTTATCAATTTTGTCTTTCATAATAAAATCTACACTGAATGATTTACCATTATAAATAATATTTATGTGATTCATTGTTTTCCAACCAGATCCCAGACGAAGAATATTAAGAGCTATTATTCCATCATTTTGATTTATTATTGGAATTATTGGAGGTAAGAATCTATATAAAACAAAAGTATTATGATTATAATGTAAATATATAGATGAACTAATTAAACAATAATTAATAGGACATTTTTTATTTCCATTTAAATTAATTTTTTACTTATAATGATTCAAAATATATTTAGTGTTATCTAAATAAATATATCTTTCATCATTTTCTGTAGGCTTCTTAAAATTTTTATAAAATCGACATAAGTTTAATATTTATTATGTACATTGTATAACTATATTTAATTATATTATACATAAAATTTAATAATTGCACGTATTTAATTATTTGAACACTATTAAGTATAATAAAATTTATACTATACTTCTAACGATACAAAATAACAAAAAAAAAATGTTGTTGCTGAATATTATTAGTTAAATATAATAAAATAAATTAAAAATTGATTTAATGATACCAAGATTCACTATATTCATATTACAATAAAATTTTTATATAAATAATACAAATTAATATTTTAAGAAATAATAAAACATTAAATATCTTTAGTAGAAAATATTTTATTTATATTTTTACACAGGCTGCTGAATATTTGTTAATGTTTTAGAAATTGCCTAAAAGTATTTATTACGCTTCAAAATACTGTAAAGTAATTTATATTCAAATATATAATTAGAAATTAAATTTAAATATAAAAATTCTTACTCAGGTATTCTTGGTGTCAGAAATTGGTCAAAGCCAAGATTTTTGTACCAAATTTTTATGGTTTCATCATAATATAAATTAAGATTACTACATGTTAAATAAACTAAGTAAGAGTCGTTTTCATTAGTGCATTCGTTAATTTGATTTGTTATCGAATTAGTTTCTACAGATGTGTCGATGACATTACTATTTTGAAACATATTGTTTACTATTTCTGATGCTTCTGTATAAAACNCGATGATATTACTATTTTGAAACATATTGTTTACTTTTTCTGATGCTGCTGTATAAAATTCATTTAATTTCTTAAATTTATCTTCAGTGTCTTTAAGATTTGGTAAGCTATTGAGATCAAAAGATACAGTCTCTGATGTATATTGTAAGACAAATTGTTTAAAAAAATCAATTTCATCAACTATAGCATTTGGTACAATGATTCTTTTAAACACATATCTTACATCTATGTAGCTTATAAACTTCATAGCGTTATAGAGGTTTTCCAACATAGTCTTGGAATTTTTCACTTCTTCTACGAGTAATGTTACACAATAAATAAAATTTTCCGTAAAATTTTTCTCATGAAATTGCTTACATTTATGAAGAATAATATCTACGTAACCAAGGATTTTTTTTAGTATTTCAGTATATTTGTAATTTAGTACACTTATTGTATAAGAATAGTCAGCTTTGAAATTAGCCATGGATGCGTCGGATTGAAATGCTTTTTCTATATTAATAGTATAATTTGAATCATTTTTCAATTTTAGATTTAGCATTCGTTTCAATCCCATTTGTGAACATATGTTCCCAACTACTGATTTGATATATTTTTTATAAACATCACGATAATTTTTATAATGGCGAAGATAATCTGCGCTTTGTTCTGCTTCATCTGGTTTCAATACAAAAACGACAATAGTCATAAAAAATAAAGAATTAATTTCCATTAAAAAAATATTAATAATAAAATTTAGTTATTTGAATCTTTGGTAAATTTAGAGTGAACATATGCATAAATAATTCATAATTATTTTATACCATGATGTGTTAATAAAAAAATATGTATAAAGATTATAAATCTTTTTTTCGATGGTAAAAATATATTATAATTTTTTTACAAAGTGTGTATATTATAGTAATACCTATAAATAAATTTCCATTTTAATCCTATTTTTATAAAATCAATTACTTACATGAATATGATGCACTATATTATGTTTTTTTTTTATAATAAGACATTACAATTTGTAAAATATGATTTTTTGATTAGGATATTAGCTTAAAAAACTAAGAGAATATAAATTAATCAATTATTATGGAGTATATTTGATAACTTTTTATTAGTATAGTAATCTTTTAAAATTAATTTTGTTTTCAATGTTGTTTTTTGATCAAAGTGATATTCTTTTAATGTCAAAAATTTTTATAATTCTGTACAATTATAATCTATTTTATGTATAAATATTGAATTTCATTTATATGTCCATATGTTGTTTCTAGATCAAATTTGCAATAAGTGTACTGGACATATTTTTAACTCAATTTAACATAAAGTCCATAAAGAATATTAAACTTTAATATGTATATTTATTTTTGATTGCAGTGTTATTTATTATAATATATGAAAAATTTATTATCTAACTAAATTTTTTATTATTACATATAAAATTTTATTAATATTTAAAATTTTATATTTTCTAAATTCTTTAAAAAATAGAAATTTTTTATTTCGGTATGAATTTTAAAATTCCTATCTGTGCATTATGGTAAATACAAAGTATCGCTAAACACTATCCCGCTTCTCATCTTTTTTAAATCTTTAAATCAACCAGTCAAAATTTAATTCATCATTCAATAGTAAAAAAATAATAATAGGTTCCCACTTAACTTTTGAATGTAATAATTGATAAGTATTTACATTCAAACAGCAGAAATCATTTGTACATATTTTTGAGACATAGTCTTTTGTTTAAGATATCAGAAATTACTTTAAAGTTTTTACTGTGATCGAATCCTATATTTTAATACTAAAGCAAGTTTTTAATTTTTAATTAACACCATACAATTTTCATTTTTTAACAGAAAGTACAAAAGATATGCAGAATACGTTAAAAAATAAAAAAAAACAATTATATAAAATTTATATAATTTTAATTTCTATATTTTGTGTTTTACGTTAGTGGTAAAAATAAAAATTATAAATTATGCATTACTTTATTTCAATAAAAAAAAAATGTGTTCGAATTTAATAAAAAAAAAATATACCATTGTTTTAATGTATAATGTTTATTCATAATAAACTTTCATGATAAAAAATTGCATAACTGAAAACTTTAAGGTAATTAAATATAGCTTAAGATGTTATTAAAAATTATGTACAGGGTGATTTTTTTATCATAACCCACTCATTTACTTACAGAATAAATATATTTAAAAATTTTTTTTTTTGGTTATCTTTAGTTACACATTATTCTTGAATTATTAACTATGTAATACTTTTTAANCTTGAATTTTTAACTATGTAATACTTTTTAAGTTCATCCCTTATGCCTTGTAAGGGGGTCAACTTTGTTTTTTTAAATGGAAACACATATTTTTAACANAACTTTGTTTTTTTAAATGATAACACATATTTTTAATTTAATAAAATGTTTGAGTTTTTAATTTAATAGTAAATGGCATTTGAATTTTTAATATAACTTAATTCGTTTATTAGATATAATCTTTTAAAGTTTCAAATTTTTGAGTTAATATACAGGTATAATACACAAAGGATTCCAAATACAGGTAGCTAAATGGATTTTTATGACATCGATATTAGCAGGTACACAGCATTGTTATTATCAATGATAGTAAGATACATTGTTGTTAATTTATAAATACACTAACTGACAATACAAAAAGTATGTCTACTGATGGTTATAATTGATAATAAACAATCCGTGACTGTGTCAGTAATGTCAAAATCACTCTCTAAAAATTTTTATATATCATTATACCTTTAACATTTCCACATTTAATTCTGTTTAATTGGATATTATCATTATTTATTTAATAATAACAGTACAGAGGTACTTTCAANGACAATACAAAAAGTATGTCTACTGATGGTTATAATTGATAATAAACAATCCGTGACTGTGTCAGTAATGTCAAAATCACTCTGTAAAAATTTTTATATATCATTATACATTTCCACATTTAATTCTGTTTAATTGGATATTATCATTATTTATTTAATAATAACAGTACAGAGGTACTTTCATAACGTCACGTATTAAAGTCAAAATATATTTGACTTATAATATAATAATCCTGTTCATATAACTTTGGATCAAGTATAATGATATCTCACAGTGATTAAAATCACTATAAAAAAAAACGCTTCGATGCAAATCTTTAGATAGTGTTTAATTTTAAAAAATTGGTGGATTATTCCAAAAGCCACATGATCTGCTAGTTCCTTATTAATAACCTGATTAAGATAAAGTATGTCGAATGAAAAAGAGATTATTAAAAAATATTATTTCTCATAAAAAAATAATGTTGATCCATACACTTTTAAATATGTCATAGCATTATAAAGTTAAAAATGTAAAAAATAAAATCGAGAATTTTCACATAATAATAGCATTCGTTAGCCATTTTCACCACGAAGACAAGTCCAGAGGACAAATTTTTTTTTTCATAATAAAGTACATTACATTAGCTTTAATTACGATATATATAAAAGTGTCAGACTTTTCGGAATACTTTTAAAAGTTAAGTTGAAAAAGTTATTTTTTTGTGAAAAAGTTGTCATTTTGAATCCCCCCTGTGGGCTGGTATAGGGTTAAATTTATAAAAATAATATACCAAATGATAGGTAAAGACATCAATCATCTATAAAAAAAATCATATTAATATGTTCATTTTTGAAAAAGTTACGGCAGTTTTTAGTAAAAAAAATTGAAAAAATTTCCAAAATAAGCGAATTTTAAATTTGTAATTTTTTTGGAGGTTTCCCCCATTTACGAGGAACGAGGGAAATTTTTTCAATTTTTGAGGGTAATGTCTTTGACTAGATACGATTTGTGATCTTTTGACGTATCATTGAAAGAAATCGGTTCGTTGAGAGCTGAGAAAAAGTGGTAACAGACACAAAAAAAAAAAAAAACACATCATAGTAAAACCAAACTTTCTCAGCTTCGCATCGAAGCTACAAAATAAACACATCTTAGTAAAACCAATACCTTCTCAGCTTCGCATCGAAGCTAGTAATTTTAAATATTTTTAATGTAAAATTGTATTAATATTATTATTAAATATAAAAATCAATAATGGTTCTTAGCGTTCGTAACTACTCTAAATTATATTTTTAAAACTAATTGATAAATTACATTATTTTTTTTATTTATTTTTTTTTTTATTAGCTTTCAATACAAATTATTATTATAGCTTAACAATTAAATAAAATGGGAAAAGAAAAAAAAATAATAATATTAATAAAAAAAATAGTACAATTAATCTTACATCAACAAAAATATAATAAAATTACAGTAAACATCGTTAAATAAAAAAACCAGCTGAATTAATGAAAGAAATAACTAAAGATATTAAATCGAGAGAAGTTGAGTTAAGAATAGTGTAACAATTAATAGGAGAGATATTAAGATGAGATAAATTATTAAATAAAATAGAACGATTACTTTCAAATGCACAGCAGTCAAAAATTATATGAGGAAAGTCGCAGAGAACTTCTTCGTCATGTTTGGGGCAGAAAGGAGAATTGTTAAGGGACATTTTGTACGCATAAAAAGGAAGGCGATTATGACCAAGTCTTAGTCGAGAAAAGGATAATATATGGAATCGGGAGAGAGGAAGTTTATGGAACCAAGGATGATTTGGAATAGTTGGTGAAATTGATTTGTGCCAAGCTGCGATGAGAGAGAAAGGAGAAGACCAATATTCTTGCCATGCTAGAAATATCGTCCTATTAAGGGATGAAACGAAATCGGATGATGGAATATTAAGGGTTGGACGACGGGTAATGAATTTGGTAAGTTTCGCTAAATGATCAGCCTCCTCATTACCAAAAATACCCACATGACTAGGACACCATAAAAATTCGATTTTTGTATTAGTTAAGAAAGGATTATAAATTAACGATTTTATTTTAATAATAAGAAAAGATCTGGATTTTTTGAATGAATTAGAAGAGAGAGAGAAGAAAGGACTGATAAAGAGTCAGTAATTATTAAAACATTAGAAATATTGAAGGATCGAATAAGCTCAAGGGGCGAAGAAATGGCATAACACTCAGTAGTAAAAGAACAAGATTGTGAAGGGAGAATATCTGAGAATTTAATATTAAGACTAGGAATAAAGAACAAGAAACCAGCGGAATTAAATCTTACTGAATCATCAGTAAATATAAAACAATAATTGGAGAAATTAGAGAATAAGAACTCATTGAATAGATTATTAACAAAATTAATAGGGAGAGATTGTAATTGCAGTTTTGAGTAAGAATGAAAGTGATGGTTAAAGTGAATAGGTGGGCAATAAATAAGAGGCAGGAAGGAGACATCATAAATAGGCAAACGATTTAAAGATGTGATTATCATTTTAAGGTACGGAGTCAAAATCGAAGAGATTGAAGCAAGTAAAGGAAGAGTTTTGGGAACATAGCGCCAAACTGCGTATAGAGAATGAAAATTATAAAATATCGAGTTGGCAGAATAGGATAACTGTTTAGTAAGAAATTTACATGCTAGGAGTCGAGAATGAACTTCGATGGGGGGACAAGCGCATTCCACTTCTAAACTTATATTTGGGGTAGAGTAAACGGCGCCTAAGATAGTACGTAAACAAGAAGTCATAAGGGAATTAAGCTAAATTACATTATTACATCGTAGTAAGTGTGCCAGTAAAGACTGTAAATTTATTAAAACATATTTCAGAGATGATTTATAAATATTATGTTTAAAATATAATAATAAATAATTGACAATAATAAAACAATAGATTTATGAAATATAATTTTTAATTTCAATATGTTGATACCTAACCAAAATTATATGATTAAAGCAAAGAGGATTTCATCTAGTCAATAATAAGTTTAATAATTCTGCCCTCTTAATTGCTGTTGAGTCTGTTAACTTTTCTGAAACCCAGACCTTCATAACAAAATGTGTAAACATTTTCACAAAAAATTTCAAAAAAACTACATGCATTAAGATAAACTTGGGTTGAAGGATTATTCAATGAGCTTGCAACAATTTTGAAATTATTTATTATTTTAAATTTTTCATAAAAAGGTTTTGTCATAATACAACGCCCGTTCATGTTAGATATATCATTATTTAAGTCAATAGAAAAGATGTTACGAAAATTTATAAATGTATTCAAAAGCATTTCAAATGCTTCATTTTTATAATAATCCGGTTGACCAGAAAATTTATCATAAGAAAATTCATTGTTCTTCAAAAAACACAGGATATCATCAACCCATTTTAATATTTTCTGTAAGTTTGAATGAGAGTTGTTATTATCACTCCATATTGATAAGTTTTTTAAGGTATTTAAAGCTTTATTCAGTCCTTCAAACATTTTTTTTGATTTATTAAACGAGTCAAATAATTTAATCAAACAATTATTTTTGAAAAGCTTAGCATCATAATTGCATATATACAATATAGCAGACAATAGTACATGATAGTTTTTAATTATTTCTGTATACCTACATCTTAGTAACTGTGTTACATGCTCTTTTTTTATTTGAAAATTTATGTTATCAATTTTGTCTTTCATTATACGATCTACACCGAGTTGTTTACCATTATAAAGTATATTTATATGATTCATTTTTTTCCAACCAATTTCCTGCCGAAGAATATTGAAAGCTTTAATTCCATCGTTTAGTATTATTTCTGAATATTTTGGTGGTTTAAATCTATTATAACAAAAATATTATGATTATTAGGTTAGTATATCGATGAAATGATTGAAAAATAATTAATGAGACATTTTTTATTTACATTTATATTAATTTTGTACTAATAATGATTCAAAATAACAACAAAAAAATATTATTTATCCAGGATAATATTAAAATGTAATTTTATTTTTGATAAAATCAACTATTTTAATGCATATCATGTAATAAAAATTTGTTATATTCATATTACATAAATATTTAATAAAAATAATTCAAATAAATTTAAGCTTTTAATTTAAATTTCTTATATTTTATAAAATACACAAGGTCATTTACATTACGTTATATTATGAATAATCAAGATAAATTTATATGTTGGCGTTCTTACTCAGGTATATTGAGGTTAAGAAATATTTCAAAGCCAAGGTTTTTGTACCAAATTTCTATGATTTCATCATAAAATGAATTAAGTTTACTACACGTTAAATAGACTAAGTAAGAGTNAGGTTTTTGTACCAAATTTCTATGATTTCATCATAAAATGAATTAAGTTTACTACACGTTAAATAGACTAAGTAAGAGTCGTTTTCATTAGAGCATTCGTTAATTTGATTTGTTATCGAATTATTTTCTATAGATGTGTCGATAATATTACTATTTTGAAATAAATGGTATAAAAAATAAAAAAAAAGTTTCTTTTATTCAATTGTAAGATTAAAATGTAAAAATATTTTAAATGTAGTCATACTTACTCAAGTGTATTAGGGTTGAGAAATTGTTCAAAGCCAAGATTTTCGTACCAAATTTCTATGGTTTCGTTGTAAAATGAATTAAGTTTACTACATGTTAAATATACTAAGTATGAGTCGTTTCCGTTAGAACATTCCTTAAGTTGAAATGTTAAGTCAGTTTTTATAGAAGTGTCGATGATATTACTATTTTGAAATAGATTGTTTACTTTTTCTAATGCTTCTGTATAAAATTCATTTAAATTTTTAAAATTCGTTTCAGAATCATTAAGATTTGGTAAGCTGTTAAGATCTAAAGAGCTAGTTTCTGATGTTCTTTGTAAGATATATTGTTGAAAAAAGTCTATTTCATCAATTATAACATTTGGTACAATAGATTGAAACACAAATCTTACATCTATGTAGCTTATAAACTTCATAGCATTGTAGAGGTTTTCCAACATAGTCTTGGAATTTTTCACTTCTTCTGCGAGTGATGTTACACAATAAATGAAATTTTCCAATAAATGTTTATCATTAAATTGCTTACATTTATTGAGGATAATGTCTATGTAATCCAGAAATTTTTTTAGTATTTCTGTGTATTTGAAATTGAGTACACTTACTGTAAAAGAATAGTTTCTTCTGGTATTTTGCATGTACTTGTTTTTTTGGAAAGCTTCTAATATACTAATAGTATTTTTTGAATCTTGTTGCAATTTTAGATTTCGTATTTCATTTGATCTAATACGTGAACGAATGTGATTGACCACAATTTTTATATAATTTCTATAGTCCTCACGATAACTAAAGCTCTCAATTCCTTCACCTGTTTTCATCTTGAAAATGACTATAAATACTAAAATTAATGAGTAAAGTTTCATTAGTAGTAAAATACTGATGATAATAATAATAACTCGTTGGAAACTCAAAATGACTTAAAATGAATATATGTAAATGTGTGCATTATTATTTTATATCATAAAATTGTTAGTTAAAAATTTGTATAAATCTTTCTTTATAACTTTTAAATAATTACGGTGATTTACTTTTATTAATTAAATAATTTGTCTTGTACATATAATGCATTGTTGTATTATATACAGAGTGAACAGTTTAATATTAAACTACACAATTACCCGTTATTTAAATAACTAATGGCAAAAATTGTTTAATTTTTTTTTTGTTTCATATATGTCTTGATTTATAAGCTATAAATAACTTTTTAGAATCATCCCTTATAAATTATAGGGGTGTCAACTTTATTTTTTCAAATGGCAAATTAGTTATTCAATATATACTTATATAAGTAATTAAGTAAATGTCTGATTGATAACAGAATTCAGAAGTTATTCTCATTGTAAAATGATTAGTCATAAAGCTAACTGACTAATTAACTAAGCTAGTGAATAGTTGCACTCATTCTTCTCTTCCAAGCATAATTTTAAATTGTTAGTAATTTCCGAAGTACAACTTTCAAAAGTTTTTATCGACCAATAGCTACTAAATAAGCTAGTAAATTGTGAAAGTTGACATTTCAAGAAAAAAAGTTGACACCCCTATATGCTATAAATGATGTTTCTAAACAGTAATTTATTAGTGATAATTTAAGAAATATACGTAACTAAAAAAACAAAAAAAATTTTCCAATAGTGTATTTATTTTAAGTGTAATAGAGTGGTTATATGAACTGATCACTTTGTATGTATCCTAAAATATATTAAAAAATATCATCGTTAAATCATCTATTTATAACATTAGTTTCTCACAAGGACATTTAAAATTATTTTATGGTATTTCATACAATATAACCTAATAATAAAATAATTTAACTATAACATTTAACATTTTTATTTTATAAAAAAAAAAATATAAGGAATGGTTAATTAACATTTTTATTGTTTTTTTATATGTTATACTATTATTTTAATTTTGTTTTTAATATCATTTTACAATCTAACTGTAATATTTTTCTTCATTTTTAAAATATTTTCGAACCTCCTCTATACATCATAATTTGTTTTGTGTAAATTTTTATAGATTTCAATTTATTTGTACATGGCTAAAACGTTTTTATTTAAATACTTATTTCAAATTAAAAAACAATTTTTGTTTAAAAATATTGCCTATGAATATCTTATTTTAATTATAATAGTTAAATAAAGAATAATATTTAGCACAATAATATTATCCAAACTCTCAAATATATTAAATTATTAATTAATTAATAATTAATTATCTTAATAAAATATTATATAATTAAAATATTCTGATTAAATTTATCCTTTGAAATAACAAATATTTTAACTTCAATGCGAAGTTGAGAAGATATTAATTTTACAATGATTTTTTTTTATTATGACTGTAATCTCTTTTCTTAGCTTTTAACAAACCGATTTCTTTTATAAATACGTCAAAAGATCACAAATCTTATCTTGTTGAAGAAATTGTTTTTAAAAATTGAAAAAAATTCTTTTGTTCCCCGTACAAGGAGGAATTCATCAAAACAATTACAATTTTTAAAATCGGTAAATTTTGACAATTTTTTCATTTTCTTTTCTTAATGCTTCATAACTTTTGTTTTAAAATTCTGGGTTTTGTATTTTATTTTATTTTAAAATGCCTGACAAGGGAAGAACACAGATTTTCATAAATATTATATAAATAAAAAATTGATATAGCATATAAAATTAAACTTATTAAAATTTGTTTGCTTTTTTTTAAGTCGAGAAAAATAACTTTGAAATTTAAATTAGCTTAAATTGTCATTTTTTTCAGTCGACGGGAGCGATCTATGGTTGTCGAGTTGGTAAAACTTGTGTCTTACGCGCTTGGGATACAAGGTTCCTCCTCGCGGATGGCAAGGAATTTTTTGCATTTTTTTATTAATTCTTTTTAAACTATCTGCTTTCGATTTATGTTATAAATAAATAAAATATAATAAGGATAAGGTACTAAAATAAATAACACATTTTTTTTTTTAATAGCCAAATATATATTTAAGTAATCATTATAGTTTTATAAATGAAATCTTTTATATTTTTTTTTGAAAAAAACAAATTATAATATTTTATGAACTTCATGAGTTATAGGATTATATTCAAACATTTTGTTGTGTACAATTAAGCGATATGCTGTAGTGTTGGTCGGAAAATTTTCATCAGATTCAAATTCTAATCTAATATCTACTGGCACATTTTTTAATTGTTCGTTTTGCCTCGAACAGTCAATGACAATGAGTGGTGCAGTTGTCTTGAATTCTGTTTTTGTCAGCATAGGACACGCCATCTCGCATGTTGGCGTAGGGGTACGATTCTGAATTCAAGTATACTTTTAGATATGATAACGAACAATGGTCAAATCTACTACTATCTTTGTTTATTTTATTTTTTCTATCCACTTGAAAAGCTACAATAACAAATCTTGGGCTCTCTGTCTGCGATGAAGTTTTCATAGTCCAGGCTTGTCTTTTACTATTTGGTAGGCCGGGATTTTCATATAGATCTCAACTTCGAAATGCTATTTGAAGTGGTGTTGAGGTTTCTAAGATTTTGAGCATGTCTAACCTCATGACATCTGTCACACTTATATGTGGAACTTTCCATATAACTTCGTTCAAATAATTTTACAATTTAATAAATTTTCATTTGTCGAGTAAATACAGTTTAAATCTGTACCACTCCGTTGCAATATTAAGTCTTGACGACAATTATCGATGACTTCTTTATGATCCTCAGCAAATCCTAATAATAACCTTAGAGGTATGCATATTTCAAATTTCATACTCGTATTTGCAGTTACAACACTCCAGCCAGCATTTTCGAACCTTGTATGATCATTCGGTGAAAACGTGACGTATCGTTTTATTGTAGACATTACCCCAGGCATATGCGATCTATCTATTTCTATTGAGTTCAATAAATATCTTATTTCAGTGAAGCAGTGAGCTAGCCAATTGTTAACCAATTGTACATCTGAGCTGGCAAGAACTTCCGAGAGTTCTCTATCAATCAAGAGATAGGAATCACATGGAAGGGTGTAAACATCTTGCTGTTGAATACATATTCGTATCTCATCATTATTCGATAGTGCGCTAACCGAAAACAGTTGATAGGAAAATAATCCAATTTCACTATGCGGTCTTCATTGTACGGTGTTTCCATTACTTCTAAAATATCGTCCATTGTTAATTGTATAACCCAAAGCAGAAAGAATTTCAAGGTTTTCACGTCGGATCTCTTCAACTAGTCGTTGTTTAAGGTTTGGTTTTTTAATATTACTCTTGATTTTTTTTAATTCGAAGAGCCATCGCGTATATGTAGACGTATGGTAGCAGGCTTACCTCTAAAATTAATTGCTTTATCGTCTTTATCTGTTATTTTCACAGTTATAGAGTATAGTTGATTGGATATTAATGGATAGTATATCAAATTATTAGGATTTTCAACAATACGGTAACAAGCTTCCATTCCTGGATTAAACTCGTGAACCGTATGACTAGGAATTCCGTTGTCAAATGCGCCATAAGCAGCTTTACAATTTATTTTTATACTAGTTAAATTATTTATGTTAGCAACGTGATCCGATATATGTATTTTATTTGCGTCGAGTATTTTTCGATAAAAGCCTAAAATACCACCTATACTATTTTCAATGCTAAAATCTATCTGTCGGCTACACTTTAATTCTGATTTTAAAGTGTTTTTATGATTCTTCAACATTAATAAGATTTTATACGACTGAAAATGTTCTTCTGGATATTTACTAATGTCTTCAAGTTAATAAATGCCTTCAGGCACTTTAATTTCTATGTTATTTTCAAAAAGCTCGTTATTTGTATTTATCAAAATGAATGTATTGTTTGACTTGTCAATATTTGGTATAGAATTTCATCCGTAAAATTCCAAAAACGCAACCTCTGGTGCTCCAGTGAATTCTATCGGTGGAAAAAAACTTAATGTGACTTCCGACGTTGTGCCATGCAGTGTAAAGGTCAGCGATTTGAGCATTATGATTTAAAAAATTTTAAACACAGTTGACCACAAACGTTTGTGTTATATTTTTGTTTTTGATTATAATTGTATTTCACGAGCAGTCCGGTGAAATATTTTTCAAAATCCAGCGGAGGAGGTAAATTTCCAAAAGAGTCAAAATACATCACGTCCATGCTTGTCTTGAAATACGCTACCCAATACGTTCCTTTTCCACGGTCAATGTTCAAATTAACAACTGCACTCTCGTATATTTTGATACGGCAATTTATCTCTCGAAAAGACACCACGGAAATGACTGATTCCGAATGATTCAGTATATTTTATAATATCTAATTCGCTGAGTGCACGTCGCTTGGGTAGTGTCAATGCTAGTTTTTTTGATATTTCAAATAGAATCCACCACTCTTCATTTTCTCTACATATGGATGCAAGTATAATGCATTACTGATTTTCACTGGTTTATTTGAATTAACGTTTTTTCTGACTTCATGTGCAGCTCTTACAATACTCGATACTCCGCCAGCCAACGATCCTAAAGCTGAAAATCCAGCAAAAATAGGAATGAGTGGCAGCACACCACCAAATTTTGGTACTTTGATAGTGCGAGGTGTTTTAAATTTTTGTTTCCATTTTACAGCAACACGAGCTGTCGCTAATGCTAAGTTTGTCGCACTATTAATATCTTTTGAATTACGTATAGCTTTACGTCCAACTTGTAGTACACCACCAAAACCTACTCCAATCTTTCTTTTAGCTTTCATGGTATTTGTAACAGCATATGCAACAGCCTTTTCTCCAAATGAACTATCATTCGCTTTTACGCGGTCCCAAGCATGTTTATCCAACTCGTAATTAGCAAAATGCCGTTCTGATAAATCATTTGTTCTAGCGTACGCAATATCATGTTCACGGCACACTGCATCGAGTTTATTTATTCCAGGATCACCACGTGCTAGTCTTTTATTAATT